ATGAGTAGAAGTGTGGCAGACTAATCCTCCAATGAAAAAAAATTCGATTCAAATGACTATGATTCTGACTTGGAGACTTCCACGCGTACGAGTTCCAAACTTCCCGGATGTGCAAAGTTCAAACTTTGATGTGCCTACGTTGATTAGCATAAAAATCTAATGAAAATCACGTCTTTAATCCCTTTTTATTCCAAATTCCTACAACCAACACAAATTACCCAATATCAGTAGAATCCATCAATTAATGCAATATTTGGTAAAATAAAAGAGAAAAATAATCATAAAATTAATTACAAAAATGCAACCTATTAGAGAACAATCAAGTGGAGGGAGGGAAGGAGGGTGGTGGGGGAGGGGAAGAATTGTGGGGGATGAGGGGAAGGGGCAAAGAAAGGCATTAAAACCAAATTCTACAAAATATTATATGTACAAAATATAATTTCTCAGAAATTAGGGTGACCACCCTTACCGGTAGGCCCCTCTTTTTGCTACTATTTTACATATAATAATAATAATGTGCCTAGGACCGAATTTTTTTAAATTAATGTTTTACATATTAGGGTGAACATTCTTAGGATGTGTTTGATAAAACTGAAAACTGAAATCTAAAATTTAAAATTTAAAATCTGAATCCGTTAAATTATTCAATTGTTAATTCATAAATCTAATATATTTTAAGTGTATATCACATTAAATGATAAGTGAAGAGGTTATCATTTATTTTTTGGAATAAATTTTGCCTAAAAAAATTTAATACTACTTAATTAATTCAGATGTTTAATTTTTTATTATGAATTAAATTTAAATATTATATTAAATTATCAAACAATTCCTTTGTCTCCATCCAAGATTAATTTCGATAACTATCTACTGCCGTTGACTATCTTACACGACTTGCATTGGTTAACAACTATTTCAACGATAGATCGGTGTCCTTCAAATTTTAGAGCGTGTCTTCTGAACTAGAATGCCTAGAATTGAAGTCTCTGTAAATATGTTGTTTGCTTGCTCTATGATGAATCTTTCACATGTTATAATTACTGAATTTGTTAGTTAAAATGGTTCAAAACGAAATGACATGCCTCAATTTTTAATTAAGTACCGCTTGAATTCAATTGCCAGAAGAAATTATACAACATTTACTCGATAATTTCCTCACACCTAAAGAAGCAGCCCAAGCAAGATTATTGTCCAAGGCATGGCTGAGCGCTTGGCAGACTTGCCCCTTTTTAAGCTTCAAGCAACCTTACTTCGACAAAGACATTTGTACTCTTAAAGAAAAACACAAAGGTATGTTCCGGATTTTTTTGGACAAGGTTATGCAAAATTACTGCGAGAAAAACAGTGGGATTCATACACTCAAGCTGTCGGATTAATCTTCAGGATGACGCCCCTGATCATCGATCTGTGGGCGAATGGCTGAAAATTGCTGCAGGTTGCGGCTTGAAAAAGCTTAATCTGTATACGCTCTGGTCATATTCATTACCTAGTACAATTCTTGAGACAGAATCCCAGGAAGATTTGTTTCTGGACAGCAATATCTCTTGGCAGTGACCCTGGAGCTGTGGAAAATGCAGCAGCCTTCGGCGACTGGTTCTCAGGTATGCCTTTGTGAGTGATGAAACACTTGAGAAGATCATTGCAAGGTGCAGGCTAATTGAAAATCTGATTATTTTGCGGTGTGGAAAGTTACAAAATATTCAGATAAGAAACCTTGTAAAACTCAAAGAATTTTCTGTTTACTATGATCAAGCGCAAAGTGTTGAAATTGATGCACCAACTCTGGAAGCCTTTACTTGTGTGAGTAATGCTTTTTCTTGTGAACACATGCCCGGGATGCCTAAATTAATTGCAACTAAAAATCTTAAGCATTTAGTTTTAAGGCGTATTGGCATTACTGACAATTTTTTTGATGATTTTAGTATTAAGTTGCCACACATTGAGGATTTGAGAATTGAAATATGCCATCGGTTAAATACCGTCAAATTCTATAGTCAATCTCTCAAAATCATGCAGCTGAAGCATAACAAAGAATTAAAGGCGCTCCAGATTCAAGCTCCAAAGATTGTTAAGTTTGAGTTTGACGGCTACTTCATTCCCCATGTAGTTTTTACCACTTCCTCAAGCAATTGGGAATCCAGAATCTGTCTAGTTGGCTGGGTGGACGTTCGTTTTGACAATTCATGGTTTGCCAAATTGAAAGAAATGTTGAAAATTTTGATCTTCTCTAAAATCTATCTAGAACTGTGGGGTCTTGATTCCGTAAACTTCTATCTGGATGAGACGAAGGATGTAGCACTAGAACCAGGACCCGACGTTGAAATGTTACTCTTAGAATTTATGACAGGGAAACAAGAACCTGGTGCTAGTTCAGCTTTTCTAGACGGGTGCTTTTGGAGTTGCCATCCTAAATCACTCCAACTATGGTGGAGCTTTTCTAGGGACTTGGCAAAGTTTATCTACCAGATGCTGTTGGAGAGACGAAATCATTCACCAGAGGCTAACTTTTGGGCCAAAGATGTAAAGCATGTCGAAGTTGTGATCTTGAAGATGATTGGGACAAAGTGGCATCCTCAGCTATTGGATTGGATACTTTATTGGAGAGAGACCCTTATGAGGATTTAGACATAGCAGTTCGCTTCAAGTTCGAATGGTGAGCTCCTACACACTGGCGCTTGATGCAATCAGACACATTCAGCCATGATTAAGCATATATGCTCAGTACTTGTTTCTTTGTTCTTAATTTTATAGGTAACTTCCTTGTATCTTTGAGCTTAAGGATTCTTCTTTTTGCTTAATGCAGAGGCCCCGTTCTGGGCCCGGGCACGTGGCAGCCCAGGAATAGCCGAGCTGGGCCTCGGCCCCCCGGCCCCTGGCAGCAGCCCTGGGCCGCACCGACTAGGGCTCCCTGGGGAGGCGAAGGTCCGTCCCGAAGAGGTCGGGAGCAATCCCCCTGAGTGCGGGATACCGACTATTCCGGGTAAGTCCCGAGACGCACGGAGGTCGGATTCCCTCACGGGTATAAATGACAGAACATACCTACTGTACAAGGTACGCTCACTATTGACAATTAACCTCCGACTGTCGCTACTTCCAGTGAACACTACTCGCCGGAGAACTAACTTGACCGTCGGAGTGCCCTCGGGGACAACCCTCGGGCCCCCTTCGTGAGATCACTTTTACTTGTTTTGCAGGTCTTGGATCGGCTCTCCCATCGACACCCCGAGCTCATCAGTTCGGCTCGGTCCGGGGAAGCTCCGCGCTTCTTCAGTTGGCGCCGTCTGTGGGAACCGTAAGGTAAGTAAGATTGTGTTGATGGCCAGGACGCGATCCAAGCGCACGGTAGAGAGCACTGGCCCGGGGGGCGGTGAAGGGTCCCAGGGAAAGGAGGCCGAGGCGTCCCGGGGCGCCGGGGGGTCGACCCTTTCGGGGGAACGGAGGCAGCAGATCTTCCAGTTCGTGACGGAGAATCTCCCCATGCTGGAAGATCTGATCCGACAGGCGAAGGAAGGAGACGGGGCTGGGGGGGCGCAGACCTCCAAGGCCAAGGGGAAGGAGAAGGAGTTACCCCCTGACCCTTCGGCGGATGAGTCACGAGACCAGCCCCCCAGGAGAAAGCGACCGCGGACTCCTCCCAAGCCGCGAGCCTCGATGGTTGGGGACAGTGAGAGGTATTCTCGTGACCGGTCCGCCGGGGATCGCTTGAGGAACCCCTTCTCGTGGAAGCTCGCGAGGAACGGACCGGAGCGATCTCCCGTCCGGTCCATCCAGAGCCGGCCGCGGGATCCTCCTCAGTGGCAGCCCGTCCGGGACGAGTTCGAGCAGATCCTGCGGCCCCAACAGTATGAGGATAACTACGCCGCCTCGCCCTTTACCCGAGAGGTAGAGGACTACCCGCTACCTCGGAGGTTCAAGATTCCGAACATCGAGCTGTACGATGGTTCGACGGACCCAGAAGACCACCTCTCGGTCTTCATGACGCACATGCGTCTGCAGACCGCCGCAGATGCACTCCGTTGCAAGACCTTCCCCATGTTTCTTAAGGGAAAGGCACGGCTCTGGTTTCAGGGCCTGGCACCGGGGTCCATCCGGAGTTTCACCGAGCTGGCCAGACAGTTCGCTGCCCAGTTCGTCTCCTCGAAGACTTACTCGAAAAACGCGGCTCACTTGATGGCCGTCAAGCAGAAACCGGACGAGTCCCTAAAGAATTTCATGACACGCTTCAACACAGAGAGCCTACAGATCAGGAACAAGGATGAGAAAGTGGTCATGGCTGCCTTCATGAACGGGCTAAGGGTAGAGGAGCTCTACTACAAGCTCGTCGAGCAGCCTCCCAAGAATCTGGGAGAGCTCCTGAATCGGGCTCACGCTGCTGCCAACGCAGAGGAGGCAGGTCGCCTAAAGAAAGAATCAGATCGGGAGCTTGGAGAACGGAAGAGCCGGACGAACCCCGCAGAGGGCAAGGACGTCCCGGCCAAGAAAAACGTCTTCGATCGGCTCTCGAAGGAGAAGGCCCCTGCTCCACCGCCACTCCCAGAGAAGACCTACACCCCTCTGACACGGCCTAGAGCCCAAATCTTGGCTGTTATGGAGGCGGAAGGGCTGGGAGATCGGCCGCCCAAGATGGACACGCCTCGGAACAAAAGGAACCAGGACAGATACTGTACCTTTCACCGTGATGTTGGGCACGACACGGAGGGATGCTGGCCCTGCGTAGGGAGATCGAGGACCTGATCCAGCGCGGCTTTCTAGGTCGGTTCGTACGCCGACCGGGTCAGGAGTTCGGACGCAACCACTACGGGGATAGGCGCGAGGGACAGCGTCGCGATCGCCCAGAGCGGCGTGACGCTCCTCGGAGCCGCTCTCCCGACCTGGATACCCAGAACCTAGTTGGGGTGATAAACACCATTGCTGGAGGCCCCACGGGAGGAGACAGCCACATAGCTCGGAAGAACAGGCGACCTCCGTCTGAGGGGGATGACTCCTTGAAACGTTTGCGCATGGACGAGGAGATCACCTTTGGGCCAAGAGATGCAGTTCCCTTAGCGTCCGGGAACCACGAGGCCATTGTGATAGACGTTGTCACCAATAATTACCGGGTGAAGAAGGTTTATGTCGACCAAGGTAGTGCGGTCGACATTATGTTCTACCGGGTGTTCCAGGAGTTCGGCCTTACGGATGACCAGTTGACCCCGGTCCGAACACCTCTGGTAGGCTTTACCGGACCACCCATCAGCCCGGAGGGGATGATCATCCTGATGGTCACTGTGGGGCAGGCCCCTAAATGCCGGACCATCCCTGTTAACTTTGTGGTGGTCAAGCAGCCGTCCCCGTACAACGTATTCCTGGGTCGGCCAGCTCTGAACGCCCTCCGAGCTATCCCGTCCACCCTCCATCTCAGTGTGAAGTTCCCCACTAAGGGAGGGATAGCCGAGGTGCGCGGTGATCCAGAGGTGGCCCGAGCTTGCTACTTGGCCACGCTCCGTGGTCCGGAGAAGATGGTCGCCCAGACGACCAGTTTGGAGCCCTATATCCCAGGAGACGAGACACAGCAGTTGGGCACACAGGACGAGATTGAGGAGTTCCCCTTGAGGGAGGAGCGGCCCAACCAGGTCATCCGCATCGGGGCATTGCTGCCAGCCGAGGAGCAGGAAGGCTTGAAGGCCTTGCTAAGAGAGTACTCCGAGGTCTTCGCGTGGATGGTAGAAGACATGCCTGGGATCCATACAGACCTGGCAGTCCACCACCTCGACGTGGACCCTCATTTCAAACCGGTGAAGCAGAAGAAAAGGAATGAGGTGATCAAGGCGGAGGTAGGCAAGTTGCTGGAGTCCAAGATCATCACGGAGGTCTACTACCCGACCTGGCTGGCCAATCCCGTCCTGGTCAAGAAGGAGGACCAGACCTGGAGGATGTGCGTAGACTTCACGGACCTTAACAAATCCTGCCCAAAAGACTGCTTTCCCCTACCGAGGATCGACAGGTTAGTAGACTCCACCGTGGGTTTTGACGTTTTATGCTTTCTGGATGCTTTTAAGGGATACCATCAGATCGAGATGGCTGAGGAGGACCGCGATAAGACCTCCTTCATCACCGAGGAGGGAACCTACTGCTATAGGACCATGCCGTTTGGACTGAAGAACGCGGGAGCTACTTACCAGCGTCTGGTCAACAAGTTGTTCCAAAATCAGATCGGTAAAAACATGGAGGTATATGTGGACGACATGATCGTCAAAAGCCGAACGGACCGGCGGCTCCTACCCGACCTAAGGGAGATCCTGGACATCCTGCAGGAAAGCCGGGTGCACCTAAATCCGAAGAAGTGCACCTTCGAGGTCAGATCAGGGAGGTTCCTGGGTTTCCTGGTGTCCCGGGAGGGAATCCGGGCCAACCCGGATAAGCTCCAGGCCATCGTGGACATGACCCCTCCGAGGAACGTGAAGGAGGTCCAACGGCTCACGGGGAGAATGGCAGCCCTGAACAGGTTCCTCTCGCGCTCCGCGGTCAGAGGGCTGCCCTTCTTCCGCGTACTGAAAGCGCCTAAGGATTTCCACTGGACAGAGGAGTGTCAAAAAGCCTTCACTGACCTGAAGGCTTACCTGGCTGAGCTGCCTACTTTGACCGCCCCTGAACAAGGTGAGACTCTGTTCCTTTACCTATCCGCCTGCAACGAGGCCATCAGCGCAGTCTTGGTGCGGGAGGACGGGGGGGTTCAGAGACCAGTGTACTACGTTAGCCGAGCCCTACAAGGACCAGAGACGAGGTACACGTCGGCGGAGAAACTGGTCCTGGCCCTGGTACACGCTGCTCGCAAACTCCGCCCCTATTTCCAAGCTCACAGCATTATAGTCCTGACTGACCAGCCCTTGCATCAGATACTCACCAGGCCCGAGATCTCGGGCAGGATGACCAAGTGGGCCGTCGAGCTAGCCGAGCATGACATCGGTTATCAGCCTCGCAAAGCCATCAAGGCCCAGGCCTTGGCGGACTTCCTTGCTGAGGGGGTTAGCTTGAGCCTAACCGAGTTAAGTCCCCTGCACAAGGAAATACTGCCAAGGGAGCCCTGGGTGTTGTTCGTAGATGGGGCCTCCAGCAAGGAAGGAAGCGGAGCTGGCCTGCTGCTCACCTCGCCCGCGGGGGAAGTTCTGACTTATGCGCTTAGGTTCGACTTCCCTGCGTCCAACAACGAGGCAGAGTACGAGGCCTTGTTGACGGGGTTACGGATAGCCCACCAGATGGGCATCACCGCGATCCGGGTTCGAAGCGACTCTCAGCTCGTCGTCCTCCAGATCCGTGGGGAGTATGAGGCCAAGGACGAGGTAATGAAGAAATACCTGGCTAAGGTACGAGAGGCGGTAACCCTGTTCGAGACTTTTGAGATTGAGCGGGTGCCAAGATCCCAGAACAAGCGCGCGGACGCCTTGTCCAAGCTGGCGTCTTCCTCGTTCGCCCACCTGAGCAAGGAGGTCTTGGTAGAGGTGGTGAAGCAGAAAAGTATCGACCAGGTCCAGGTCCTGGCGATAGACAGCTCGGCCAACTGGATGACTCCTCTCATTGACTTTCTCAGCTCGGGTGCCCTCCCCGAGAACAAAACCGAGGCTCGCCGAATCCAGATCCGAGCTGCCAAGTACGCCTACACCGGGGGAACCCTCTATAGGAGGTCGTACTTGTCCCCCTGGCTAACGTGCGTGACGCCCGAGGAAGGTGACTACGTTCTGCGTGAAATCCATGAAGGTATATGTGCGGCACACGTCGGGTCCCGGGTGTTGGCCAAAAAGTGCCTCCTTTTGGGCTACTATTGGCCCTCCGTCTTCCGAGACGCAGCAGATCTGGTCCAGAAATGCCGAGCTTACCAGGTGCACGCTTCGCTGCGCCATCAGCCAGCTCGGGAGATGGTCCCCATCCACAGTCCTTGGCCCTTCGCTCAATGGGGGATAGACCTCCTGGGTCCCTTCCCCCGAGCCCCGGGAAGATACGAACACCTCGTGGTGGCAATAGACTACTTCACAAAGTGGGTGGAAGCGGAGCCCCTGGTCTCTATCTCCGGAAAGGCGATTCAGAAATTCTTCTGGAGGAACATAGTTTGTCGCTTTGGGATTCCACACGTCTTGATATCCGACAACGGCCGCCAGTTCGCCGAGAACCCTTTCCGGAGCTGGTGTGCTGAGCTCGGAATCAACCAACACTTCGCGTCGGTTGGCCACCCCCAGGCCAATGGTCAGGTGGAGAACGCTAACCGAACTGTTCTGCAAGGATTGAAGACTAGGTTGGAGTCCGCCCAATCGAGCTGGCTGGATGAGCTCCCCAGTGTCCTTTGGGCTTACCGCACTACGCCCAGAACGGCTACTCACGAGACCCCGTTCTCCCTTACTTACGGGGTAGAGGCTGTGGTGCCCGCAGAGGTGGGTCTTCCCTCACCCAGAACACAGAAATTCGTGGCAACATCCAACGAGGAAGAGCTTAGGTGCAACTTGGACATGCTCGAAGTCAGGCGCGAGGAAGCTGCTATTCGAATGGCTAAGTATAAAAGCCAGCTCGCTCGCTATTACAACGCCAAAGTAAAGACTATACAGTACCAGCCAGGAGACCTGGTCTTGCGAAAGAACTCGATCAGCAGAGCTTATAGTTCCAACAAGCTCGACCCAAACTGGGAGGGTCCGTACAAGGTCCTCGAGGTGAGCCGAGCTGGCTACTGCAGGCTCGCTAAGATGGATGGATCTGGGGTACCTCGGACGTGGCACTTCTCCAATTTGCGATTGTTTGTAGCGTAGGTTAGACCGGGGTGTTCGGTTGCCTGTTCTCTGGAATCCGAATTTTTGTTTCCTCATCAATCAAAGCTCATTTTCATTTTTACTTGTACCTATTTCATTTTACAATCCTCAAATCTGCGCCTTGCACTAGCACATTTAGCGCTCCCTTGCTTAATGTCCTAGTGGGGGGCTAGAGGCTGGCAGGTGTGACGTGTGAAGTGTTCGACCCGGGAGGTCGGCACGAACGCACTTAATGTTTAAAGTACTCAGCCCCAAGGGGTGAAGTGTGACGTGTGAAGTGTTCGACCCAGGAGGTCGGCACGAACGCACTTAGTATTTAAAGTACTCAGCCCCAAGGGGTGAGATGTGAGGTGTTCGACCCAGGAAGTCGGCAGGAACGCCCTTGGCGTCTAAAGTGCTCAGCCCCAAGAGGCTGGCACGCCCTCTTAGGGGGCTTATTTGGTGCTCGGCCCCGGAGGTCGGCACATGGCCTTGCGAAGTAGGCAAGGAAAGGAGAAAATAACTCTTCGAAATTGTGTATGCATTGCAAACTTATCTATTACAAAGCTTACAAAGCTTCCGAGCTGCCTATCTATTACAAAGCTTCCGAGCTGCCTATCTATTACAAAACTTCTGAGTTGCCTATCTGCTACAAAATTTGCCGAGCTATGAAGAGAAAACAGCTCGGGCCTCCTCCTTCTTGCCGGTAGTCCGCCAGGAGCAGGAGCTGGAGGTACACCTTAAACATGCGAAGAGGCGTATGGTGAAGGCTATCCAGTCGGACCTTTCCATCTCAGATGGACCCCCAAGAGCATTTTCAACTGGAGCATGGTCACATCCTTATGAGAAGACGGGAAGGGTTTCTGGAAGGGCCGCGGCCCTAGACCACCGGCTCTTTCCCAGCAGCCCTGCCGGGAGACTCGCTCTCCTCCAAGGGAACCTCCGCCAGCTCGGCCCCAACGTCGGCTCGGCCTACCAACCCCTTCAGGGCATGCCCCTTGCGGTACCCGTCGAAGAGCCAGTCCAGCCTCTCCTCGGCAGCAGGATTGTAGTCCTTGAAGTCCGCCAAGTTGAAGCCAGGGGGGTTGAGGCTCTTCACCTTGTCCAGGGCCCGCGTAGCGCCAACCTGGAGGATGGGCAGGTTAAGGAGGGCGATGTCCTCCTCAAACTGCTCGGAGGAAAGGAACTCCCGAACAGCCTTCTTCCTCTCTCGGCTGACGGTGCCGGAGAGCTCGAGGGCATGCTCCTCCTTCAGCCTAGCCACGCCGGCCTTCTCTTGGTCGAGCTCCGACCTGGTGGAGGCGAGCTGGACCTGAGCCGTGTCCAGCTCCTTCGCGGCCTCTCCCAATTTGTCCTTAAGGGAGCTTGCCTCCTTAAGGGTCTGGGAGAGCTTCTTCTCCGCCTCCGGATTCTTCTTTCGTAGTTTCTCCAGGTCGGGAGACAGTTCGGAGAAACGGGTAGCCAGGGCGGCACCGGCAGCGTTGGACCGGAAAAGAAAGAAGGCAGGTCAGCACGCCACATCACTTAGCCCAGACACGGGGGCGAAATTAATCCATGGGTGATACTTACTTGGGCCTGGGCGGTGTAGTACGCGTCCAGGAGCTCGGAGGGGCGGGCCAGCTCCATCCACCTCCTGTCCCTGGGAAGGACCGAGCCCACCATCAGCTCGCGAGCCACCTCGGGGAACTGGGCTCGGTCGTTGATGGAGAGTTTCCAGGACGGACAGAAGTGGCGGGGGTCGTGCATCGCGGGGGCTTGGCCCGGCTTCAGGGGAGCTATGTGGCGGAAGTGCCACAAGTTTGGAGGAGTCGACTCCTGCACCTGCTCCTCGGCAGAGCCCACACCCAGGTGGACTAGTCCCCCCGGGGCCCGCGCGAGAGGAGGAGGCTGTGTGGAGACCAGGGCGAGCCTCTTCTGCCCGGCCTGGGAGGGCTCGTCCCCTCTGCCCCTCTTCTGTCCGGCCGCCTTCTTCTTGTTGGCGGCCTGCTTGGAGGGGGATGGTTGTGACGTCTCTTTATGGGGGGCTGAGCCGCCCCCCGGGGTGGAAGCCCCACCTGGGGCCCCCCGAGCATTCTCGGGCTGGGGGTCGGGCGTGACCTCCTCGAGGGGTGCGCCCAGCAGCTGGGAGAGCTTCCTCACTGCAACGAACACCACCAGGTCAGCCAAACGCAAGACAGTAAAAGGAAAGAGAAAAAATCTATATACTATGAATGTGACAGGGGCAGAGCCAGCGTTACAGGTGTCGAGTTTGGGCTGGGGGGTCGCCACTTCCCCAGAGGATCCGGACAACGTCCCCACCAGCCCGGCTGCGGAGATCTGCTCAATGGAGATCTTGGTGACATCGAGCTTCACCTTGGAGCCCAACAGCTGGCCGAGGGTCTCGTAGTCCAGGTCCTCCGGGTAGGAGTCGGCCTTGACTCCCCCAACCTTCCACACATTGGGGGGAAAATGTGTGGATCTGACAAAGAAGAAGTCCTCCTTCCAATCCTTCACGGAGGAGGGGAGGCCGAAGAACAACTCCTGGGCCCATTTCCCTCCCTTGGTCTGGGGGCCACGGCGGGAGAAGTAATACCACCCTGGGAGGGAGGCCTTAAGGATGAAGGCGGCCCGGAAGAGGGAGAGAGAGTAAGGGATGTCGCAGAGAAGGCAGTAGATCAGGAATCCGGTGATGATCCTGATGGAGGTGGGGTGAAGCTGGGTGATTCTGAGCCCCCAGTAGGTTAGGATATCGGTCAGAGCTGAATGGATGGGGAGACGGAGCCCTGCGATGAGCTGCTCCCTGTAGATGGCTACGAAGCCGGGGGGAGGTCGGCAGGCTCGGTCGTCGGGCCCGGCCGCCCTCGGCTCGAAGGCCGGAGGGATGGAGTACGACTGGGCCAGCTCGGCCACATCCGAGGGCAAGATGGTGGCCTCCTGTAGGTCTGGATAACCATAGGAGAATTCGGGATCATCCCCCTGCTCCGAAGCAGGGGTCCCCTCAGAGGGATCCCTGTCCTCTCCAGCTCCGCCCTGGGCTCCGCCGGGGGAGTCGTGGGGGGACTGGGGGGAAGGGGTGGTTGCGGCCTCCCGCTCGAGGTAGGCGTCGAGCTCGGCCACCTCCTCTAGAGCGCGGGCAGAAAAAGGACGGGATGAGGGAGACTGAGGGGAATGAGAGCTCATGGTGTCAGTAGGCTCAGGCAGGTCTGAGGTGTGGAAGCTGGGGCTAGAGAAGGAAGAAGAGGAAGGGGGAGGAGGAGAAGATGGTGACGAAGATGCGGGTGAGGGCGAGGAAAGAACGATGATTCAGGAGGCTCTGCGGCGGGCCGGAACTGCAGATACAGAGGAGGAAGTGTCGGAATGATCCGACATAAAATGGAACGAAGGAGAATGGAAGGGAGAGATGCTGTGAAAAAAGGGACTTACTGGTGATGGCAGAAGGACTGAAGGCTCGCCGGAATCTGGGCACAGGACGCCGGAAGTTGCTGGAAAATGGAAATGTGGATGCACAAGGAGAGTGATAACTTGAAACGCACAAGGAGAAGCGGAAATGGCAAATGGGACAGATGGGAATTTGGCATCCCCTATTTATAGGGGGAGGAGCGGAGGGAAAACGGTTGCGTGAATTTGAACCGACCCCCATGTGAATGCATTTAACGCTGGTACGGAAACCGAAGAGGCGTGACAGCTGAAAGGACGTGGGCGCAGCGTCCCTGTGACAGCACTGTACCAGAGGTGACCTCGGCAGGGTAGTGCGCGGCTCTGGCCTCCCACGTGGCGGAGATAGATTAGGTCTGCCTGACAGTCCTACCTAATCTAGGGGGCTAGTGCAGAGGCCCCGTTCTGGGCCCGGGCACGTGGCAGCCCAGGAATAGCCGAGCTGGGCCTCGGCCCCCCGGCCCCTGGCAGCAGCCCTGGGCCGCACAGACTAGGGCTCCCTGGGGAGGCGAAGGTCCGTCCCGAAGAGGTCGGGAGCAATCCCCCTGAGTGCAGGATACCGACTATTCCGGGTAAGTCCCAAGACGCACGGAGGTCGGATTCCCTCACGGGTATAAATGACAGAACATACCTACTGTACAAGGTACGCTCACTATTGACAATTAACCTCCGACTGTCGCTATTTCCAGTGAACACTACTCGCCGGAGAACTAACTTGACCGTCGGAGTGCCCTCGGGGACAACCCTCGGGCCCCCTTCGTGAGATCACTTTTACTTGTTTTGCAGGTCTTGGATCGGCTCTCCCATCGACACCCCGAGTTCATCAGTTCGGCTCGGTCCGGGGAAGCTCCGCGCTTCTTCACTTAACAAAGATTAGTAGTAAATCTTGACACCTAATTCTATATGATAAATTATTTATAATACCCCTTAGTTCTGCATAATGCTAGATGACTTTCAAATATTTCAAAATAGCCACATAACCCCTTTATGGTTTTATATAAACTGGGCAATGGACGAAATGAACTATTAATTACGACCATTGTTCAACAGTGTGTGTGATAGACTTATAATATCTATTTAACTCCTCTATACTTTGCAGTCATATTAAATTTACTCCTTATGATATTTATTTACATAATCCCTCTATAGTTTTACTGAAGGTAGTTGAGCCATTATTTGATTTAACTTCCACTACAACAAAAATGACCTTTAACGGTATTTAAAAGTGTCAGTATAGATACTCTAAACTAACACTTTACTTTTTCTCACACCTCTATACTATAAACTGACACTTTACTTTTCCTCACACCTCGGACAAGTGTTGTCCCTTCCAATGTGGGAATAGGTTCGTACTATTCAAAGGTGTCAGGAAAACTATGCTATTATAGCATCTCATCTGCCAACAAAAATCCATTTTCTTAACAATCAAAAGTATCAGAATATTGTTGAAGTTGTTGAGTTTTGCTGACACTTTTAACTGCTTGGAGTTTTTTTTTTTTTGTTTTTAAATAAAGAAGTAACCTGATTGTGCTTCCTGCTATACATTCCGTCAATCAGATACCCAAAGGACTTGTAAAATTATCCCAAAGAACAGAATGCATGTAGTA